GCGTGTGGGACATCCAGGGTGATCTCGAGTGTGAACAGTGAGTTGTATGGGCGCACAGTCGCCATAGCCAGTTGGAAGAGAACTCATATCTGGTTACGATATCTTTGAGTACTGTGTGGGCGCATGTCGCCAGTTCGCTGTATCGCTGTTTGCAAGCATGATGAAGTGTGAATAAGTCGAGTATGATTGCAAAATAAGTTTCAGTTTGAGAAATCTGCATTTTTCAGTCTGTGTGCTAACTCTGTTTTCCGTGCTGTGGCTCTGCATCTTGGATAAGGGTAAGTAAATAAGCGTAGACTGAGGGACAGGACTGAAATTTAGCGTAGGAGGACATAAGGGAGCTAGTGGGTAGGCTATGGACAAAACTAGATTTCATAGGTACCTGGCAGGGACGTTGCAGTAACTTGGGCACGCCTAGAAAGGTCCAGTAGCCTTCCAGTAAGTCGTTGATGGTCCAGGGCCGGAATGTAGACAGCTTTAGGTCTAAATTCAGGGCCTGCAAGTGGATTACAGACTGAAATGGTGCTCCTGCCAAAAGCAGGAACACCCGGTGGGCCTAGTGCACCCAAAGAGGCCAGGTGGAGGCAGGAAGTGTCCGACCTAAGAGGTACTGGAGGTCGGGCGGCAGACGTATATAATATTTGGTGCAATTATTAGCCCGCTCATGAGTCTGACAGTCATGCTACTGCTGTGCCCAGAGGAAGAGTGAGGCGGAGCACTTGGAGGGTGAAAGAGTGGCTGGCAAGGAAGAAGACCTCCATGACTATGGAGTAGTAGTAGCGGAAGGTAGGAGAAGCTCTAGTGTGGTATGCACCACACGGGGCCCTGGGCCCCATAGTACGTTAGGGATTTGACAGAGGTTAGGGGCCCATTAGTTCTTCTTTTTCGAGCCTCAGCAGTCTTCCATTGGCTAGAGTCAGTGCCTTCCCTTTAGTCCACATGTATCCGACTGCATATGAGGGCCGATGCAGGCCCAGTGGCCGTCATCTAGGCCAGATACGCCTGGGCGCCGGTGGGACCCAGTTTGGGCGCCAGTTCTCCTGGGCGCCAGCTTCCCTGGGCGCCAGTGGGACCCAGTTTGGGCCCCAGTTCTCCTGGGCGCCTTGCCACGTTTTTCAGTTTCAGTTTCGGCGCCAAACATGTGGTTAACCAGGGGTGTTATTATCGGCGAATTTTGCACCGAAACTGTCACATTGTGCTGATTTTTTGCGTTTTTTCTTGTTTAGGGCCCCCCGTTAACCATCTCTCCAAGTGTGTGGACACCAGTTCTCTTCGCCGTAGCACACTACTGGTAGGCCCAGCGTTTTATACAGCTGGGCCAGCCTCATTGTGGACAGGCAGAGTGAGAGGTTGAGGTCTTCACACTGCTGGGCAGTGCTGCTTCAGCCGAGAGTAGGTGGGGTAGCGGTGTAGGAGGTTGAGGGCGGAGGCCAGGCTATCGGCGACGTACCTGCAGACTTACCTGGCGCCATAGCTCCTGCTTGTCTTCAGGTGTCTTCCACCTGCATCACAGATACAAGGAGACACCTTTACACTGGTCAGTATCCGGGGTCCACCTTCGTGAGACGACTACAAGAGGATCCTTCTTCTTCTCCTTCGTCTCCCTCCAGCTCCACCACTTCTCTTCCTCCTCCCTCCCTCTAATTCGTCTTCTTTTCTTCTTCTATGAGAGAGCGATTCTGACCGAGAGATTTTGATAGTGAGACTTTGTGACATTGGACTCAGACAGAGATTTGGACAGAGGCATTGGGGGACTATTTTTGGAGACTTCATGGGCGGCATTTGAGTGGACGGCATCTCCATATCGTCTCCTCCTTCGTCTCTTCTCCCTCCTCCCCATCTGTGGATGTTATTTGGGCACGGCGCTCTCTGCTGTGTATTCAGCGCCATGCCCTCTCACCCTACTGATGATGCTGAGTGATTTGCAGTCCGTCTGAGTCATCGAGTCAGACCTTTGTCTATCAGTCTTCTGCTGCACTGTATTTGCTCTTTCTCCTCAGTTGGTTTTTGGGTTCTGCACCATGCCCATCTGATTGTCTTCGGGCATGCAACATCTAGTGTTTGGGAAGACCTTCAGCTGGGCTATTGAGGTGAGTAGGGGGAGAGGGAGGAGGAAGGTGGTGAGAATCAACAAGTCGCTATGGTGGGCCAACATCTTCGTCTTCCTGTTTGGCGCCGCATCAGGGAGGCTCCTGCTGGGGTACTAGCTGGACATGGAATTCATCTGGAGGTTGGGTATTGCAGTAGTGGAGGATAGAGGCACGGTAGTCATGCATTGTCCGTTGAACATCAGCACTCGGCATGGATGAACTGCCATCACAACCGTCTTCACCCAAATAGAACGCCCGGTCATTATAGCTGTATTTACTATTTACTATTTGGTGCAACTTTCAGTCCAGATACGGCAAAAATTACCGGGCGTTCTATTCGGGCGAAGACGGTAGTAGCCGTACCAAGTGGAGAGGGAGGAAAAAGGAGGCTAAAGGAGAGTTTCTTCCACACCAGCAGTAATTGATTCTTGTCCATTCATTCATTATCAGGTTCGTGCTCCGCATACTTACTCCCAGGAAACTCCTTGAAGTAAGACAGGGTTTTTTTTTTTTTTTTTTTTTTTTTTTTTTTGGGGGGGGGGGGGGGGGGGGGGGGGRGGGATGGGGGACAATTTGCTCCAATCTATTCGTGGGGAGCAGCACGTGCTGGAAACCGGGTCCAGCGTCCCACATGAATTATTACACAACATATGAGATGCCGGGGCCATTACCCGGCTTCGGCTAAGAATCTTTTTTGATGAAGAACTAAAAAATTGAATACTATGCTATATCAGCCATTCCAGTTTCCTAACTATAGAGCAACTCCTAGCCCTCCCTATACCTCCTTGAAGTAAGACAGGGCTATGCAGCTTATTAACGATTTTCATTAAAACAAACCAGTCGGTGTAAAGTGAGTAGACGATGTGCTATTGTGCCTGAGTGGGCTTGGTGCCTGCAGCCACAAGGGTCAGCAAACCATACTCTTCCGCCAATTTTTCCCTAGACGTACCACGTCAGAAAACTAGACCTCGCCCATTGTTTCGTGGAGGCACCACGACATAACTTTCGTACTTGCCGCGGGGATTGTGGGCTGTGGAACCCAGTCAATTACTGCAGGAATTGCTGCGTAACTACTCTACTCTAAGTTAATGAGATTCCTCAAAGTAAGGCCGTGGAGCATGAGCCTTATTGTAATTATTTGTTAATAAAGAGTTAGATCAACCTAGATGTGATGATAAGAGGGAGATGATGGTGGTCAGTGAAGAGGGAGATGACGTTGGTTCCAAATTTCTCTTCTTCTTCTTCTTTCCTCATTCTTCTCTCCTGAACTCATTCTTTGTCTTCTTGAGTTGCGATGCATGGCATCGTGTCAAATTCGAGTTCTCTGTTTTCCAACTTTCCATCATGAAAATAGACAGGAGCATAGTCAAAACTACTACGTGCAAAATCAAAGGAGCGTAAAGGAACTAAAGGAAGCATCCAATCATAATCCTGAGTGCTGATCAGCAAGGAAACGGCCAAGCAAACTCCAAAGCTAGGCACAACTGTGCTTGTGTGGTATGTGCACCGCACGGGGCCCTTGGGGTCCGGTAGTAGGTTACGGGGTTGGCTAGGAGACTAGGGGCTTCCTGATCGGCCTCAGTCCCTGTTTCGGTCCGGTTCAGTGACTTCCCCTTTAGTCCGAGTCTATCTGCCGGCAGAGTGGGGCCGGTACAGGTCCAGTGGCCGTTCCCTAGGCCATATTCAGTTTGGCCGCCAGTTTGCAAACTTCAGCTGGGCGCCAAGTTTCACTCCTGTTTCAGTTTGGGCGCCAGTTTGCGAACTTCCAGTTTGGGTGCCAGATTTCATCATTCTGTTTGTCCGGTAGTGAGGCTCCTTGGGCGCCAGTTCCCTTCAGCTGGGCACCAAGTTCACTCCTCCTTTGGCCACTCAGCAGTAGGCCCAGCAGTATATATATAGCTGGGCCAGCCTCATTTGTGGCACGCAGAGTTAGAGGTTGAGGTCTACACGCCGCTGGGAAGCGCTGTTTCGGTAGAGGAGGAAGGCAGAGTAGTAGAGTAGGAGGTTGAGGGCGGAGGCCAGACTATGAGAGACTCACCTGCAGACTTACCTGGTGCCATAGCTCCTGTTCGTCTTCGAGCGTCTTCCACCTGCATCACAGCTCCAAGGAGACACCTTCCGCTGGTCAGTATCTGCCTCCACCTTCGAGCGGCTTCGAGAGGACTCTTCTTCTTTGTCTCTCTCCATCCCTCTTCTTCTTCTTCTTCTAATTCTTCTTCTTCTTCTTCTTCTTCTTCTTCTTCTTCTTCTTCTTCTTCTTCTTCTTCTTCTTCTTCTTCTTCTTCTATGAGAGAGAGATTCCGAGATTGAGACTTGGTGACATTAGACTCAGACCGAGATTTGGACAGACGTCATGAGCGACATTTGAGTTGACTCTCCTCCTCCTTCGTCTCTTCTCCCTCCTCCTCATCTGTGGATGTTGTCTGGCACGGCGCTCTTCATCTATGTGTTTAGCACCATGCCTTCTCACCCTGATTGATTATGATGACTGAGTTGCAGTCAGTCTGAGTTGTTTCAAGTCAGATCTGTGTGTACCAGTCTTCCGCTGCATTGTATTTTGCTCGTTCTCCTTGGCCGGTTCTTGGGTTCTGCACCAGGCCCATCTGACTGACTTCGGGCATGCGACACATTTACAGCTCTTATAGCAAGAAACTGAGCAAATTTACAATGCACCACGGCAGTGGGCGCAGCGGACAAAGATCTGGTGAGAACCGACATATTCCAGCTGGTCGCCAGCCCGGGTGCTGATCAGCGGTTGTATTGGCATTAATAATTTAATAACAGGGGATTACGATGTAACTCAGAATTTAAACCGAGGAATGGAACTCAAACAATCAATTCAAGAACAATTCTAGTCAACAATGGACGAGTATCTGAAGACGATCGCCCTTCAAAAACGAAGAAGAAGAAGAAGAAGAAGAAGAAGAAGAAGAAGAAGAAGAAGAAGAAGAAGAAGAAGAAGAAGAAGAAGAAGGATGTCATTGGAGCAAAACTCGATGAAGATTATGATCCACTATTGAGGTGAACACAGGAGATGAAGATCTGGCAAAGTCAACATCTTTCTACCAGCGACCAGCCTGGTCTCATCGCGGGGCGCTTATGAGATCCCGGTTGGCATAAGCACCTACCTTCCTCCCCTGAACACAAGGCCCCAGCAACAGGACTGAAGCTGCATAATTACAGGGTGGGAAGAAGGTAGTACGGGTGGTTA